GGCTCAAAAATTACCCTCCACGAGGGCGTGAAATTAATCTTGAACGTTGTTTCGACCCTTTCCAAGGGGAAATCGTCCTTTCCAACTAACCGAAACCCAAGGTTACTCCAATATTAAACGATTTATTCGAATCGTTTAAAGAACGAAATTGCTCCTCAGGAAAGTAGGACTTCTCCAAAAGGAATAAGAAAAGAATTAGAATGGAAACGTCATATGGCGATGACTAATCGGTGGCCCGGTACAATAAACGTCCACGGAAAGAACGAAAAGGATATGTTGTAGGAGAGATGAAAAATAAAAGGTGTCAACTCACCAGTAAAAAATTGGAAACGTTGAGTGGCAGTGATTCGGTTTATTGCGATGATGACTCTTTACAGAGAAGAGGGGCTTACCGATCATCCGCGATTTCCAGATTTCTGCACTGCTCGACCGAGAAACATAAAAAGGAAAGAAAAATATGAAATAAAAGAAGAAAATCGAAGGGATAAGGGAGGTGAAAAAATTTTGAACAAGAGCATTAATTCCACTGGTGAAACGTAGCCTCTCGGCGCAACGGTATTCCAGCATTTTTCACTTTTAAACTCGGAATACGGCCAAAGTGAGTTATAGATTACCTACCCACCACCCGGCTCTAGGGATCGAGCAACAGAGAAAAAAAAGCAAGCCACTGAGAACAATTTGCAACAGGCCAATTTCCAAATTTAAGATTCCCGATGGTTTATTACGAAATAGTTTGCCCCTCGTTAATTCTCGTATATTTTCTTTTCTTTCGTTTTAAATCGAGTTCTTGCAAACAAAATCGCCGAGTCGTAATACAAAAAGCATACGCTCGCAGATGGTCCAAGATCCGAGCTTTGCTTGTGTTTCCCTTAGCTTCGATATATCCATCTGCTAAGACTAAAATAAATCGTGTTGATGAACATAAAAATTGGAATAAAATAGTCGTAAGTATGTGAAATTCTGTTACGTTCATGACTCCGATCGGATTTGTTTTTATTTCGATTAACACCTTTCCTACTCCATGAACAGCCTTTTGAAACCCCGATGATCCTTTTTAAGAAAATAAATACCCTTATGACTTGATTAACAGAGAATTCGAAACGAATACGACAAAATATCTCTTGGTCACTGTTCACGTTCCCATCGACATCGCTGTCGGTTAAATCATCTTATCTATAGGTCTGGAAACGATAATTCGTTGTCTGATCTGCGTGGAGATTAACGATGAATCCTCGAAGACCCTCCAAATGATCGGCGCTATCTTCTCAATCAGCCTCTCATGGTAGTATCTCGCGAATAAATATAAAAAGGCAGATCTATGGTGATATATTGTCGGATTACAAATATATATCAAGCTGACACTTAACATGTTTCTATTTTTCGTACAAAACTAACATAATGGAACATTGTATATAAAATTATAAAAACATATCTTCGCGTAAATGATACCTAGGTTTGTCATGCATTTGTGGGAAACTGAAAGATCAGTTTCATTTCCTCTTAATTCCTCCGTGATAAATTTTGTTACGTATAGCTGGTATACCATTAATCATGAAAATCATCTGCATTAGTTTCTGAAATTACACAAACGATGTTTTCTTTAAATCGTCTCTTCTATTTGTCAAAAGAAGTACATGTAAAGAAGCTATATAGTTGAACAAACTATCTTTCCAAACCCTTTGGAAAATGCACGCAAAATCGCGTTGCCTCCTTTGCTACTTCGTGTTTCGAATTCTTCTCTAGACATACAGAAATACTCGTTGGCATGATCTTCGGATACCTACGCTTTGATCCAAAAAGTTATAGAGAATGAAACAAAGCAAATTGCAGTTTCGAGATATTAAAATGTTTGATATTGTTATCAGTACAATGAAAAAAAAATAAATAAATAAAGATATAGAACGAATAAAAAAAAAAAAAAAATACAGTATTTTACCTGTCAGGCTCTCGATTCTGGCAAAATGATAATCTACAGATTCGTGCTCAATGAATGAACACAAGCTTCCAAATTTCTAACATAAATTTAGTCTCCCTAAATTTGTGAAACCTTGGTGCTCTTGAAATACACGGAATTCGCGAAGAATGTCATCTAAAACGTGACAAGAAGGACAGAAGAAAATCAATGAAATTTACAACATAAAAAGAAAAATTAACAATAGAATGGATTAAATTAAAAAGGGATTAATTTTTTTGCCCTCGGAGAAATGTTCGCGAAAAATTAATTTACATGAAGACAGAGAAAATATAATAAAAAGTAAGACCGATTAAAGAATAATTCTTTTTAATCGATTAACAAATCCAGATCTTAAGTGATTAGAAAGCTTTAATTGATTAAAAGGTAGTGAAAATGTTACATCTGTGTAATGCATGCATAATACTCTCTAATAGTGAAGATAAAATACAAACAAATTGTTAAGAAACGCATCGCAGAAAAGTAATTTCTGTTTGGACTTCTCGATGCAAGGTAATCAATGAATACGTATTGTACTTTGTCATCTGATACTCTACGTTCTCAGGAAATTGCCTTCGTACAGGGTGCCTTAGAAAAAATATTTTCTTATTTTTCTTATATTTAACTAAATGCCAATATAGCTCTTAGATTTAAGAAATGCAATGAATATTTGAAAAAAATGAAAAGAGAAGGCTGTTCCCAATATTCAGATCTCACACTCTGAGACACTTTTTTCACATCTCGCACTTGAAACACTCTATACAAAACATACAAAGAAACATTGACAATTCAATGAAACAAAGAACATTGTCTAATCTTCAATAGAACCATCCAAAAAATTTTTTAAATAAACAATTTATAATAACGCGTCCAATTATGTTAATCAACATCCATTGTAAAAAATCAGAATGCAACGACATTGCAAAACGTACTAAACTTTCTCGGGTCTTAAGGAATGGCAACGTAAAATATAAGAAAGTAATAACGACGATTTAGGATAGAAACTAATCAATATTGAAGGTGTATCACGTGGGTAATCGAAAAATTTAGTCAATTTAAATTCAGCGACAATGACAGAAATCATGTCATTATTATTTCAGACAGCATTTGATCCATATCCCAGATCTCACACGTAACATCGACGTCTCTGTTCCTATTAATAACATTATACAATTATGTAAGTACGAATGTATAAAATTCTGTTTTGTTTGTTTCATTTTACGACTAATACGGGAATGTATGATCCGTTGTTTGTCGCTAAGCGTTCTTGCAACGCTCGTTAGATCATCGAAATATCGTTACAACGATTTTCTTATAAATATGACAGTGCAAAATTTATCGAGAACGAACTCGTCGAGATAGAACGACCAGATCGACATGACTTGATTCTTCCTTTCTTTGTTTTCAATTCATTTACATGCAATGTACTCATTGCCAAAGGAACATGAACCTCGTCGAATTCGCACTCGACAAAACCGAAAGTAACTTCAAGTGTTACTTGCGGGAATGTTTCTCGTTATATTTCGAATTAACGAATAAAATAGAATAAGAAACAAACAAACTTCCTTACAGTGGCTCCATTGTTCATTAGTTATCGAATAACTTTCTTGTTTTTATTCTCTTCCTTCCCTGGCGATCCTTGCTTCTGAATGTTCCAATCGCCGAATATTAGGTTACATTACGATCGTAACTGCAAACAGTATGGCACACCTACGTGTAAATTTGTTGGATTCGAACGAATTTCAAGTCGGATCACATTCCGCATTAATAGACGAAGAGGTTTTGCACGCTATAAAATCAATTAGTAGTAACATTAGCTGATAATAAAACAATGACTTCATTTTAACAAAGATCGCATCTGTTACGTTAAGCGTCATGGAACAATCCGTTTGCCTTTCGATAGTTACTATTATACAATATTAAAAACAAGTAACTACATCACAGTTCTAATGGCTCAGTCGTTTGATCTGTTGATGCGTCATATTATCGAATTTCATCTCATCCTTAGAACAGTAACAACGATCGTCATAACACATAAAAGTCATTATGTGTAATAACTTGAAATGATTTTTACCAAAAGAAAACTGTAGTTCAGGATAACGCAGCAGGTACAAGAGCAAACCAGTTGAACAGTTTGACGATCGATTACATGCCCTGTGACCGTAGTATTCTAAAGTTGTTTGAGAAATAAAATGAAACGTTGATAAATACCTTTTATAAATACAGACGAAAGCTAATACACAAAATACAATACGCGATTAAAAACACGGACCTTCGTCTATTATTCAGTTATTTTTCGAATATAACATGCATCGCGTCAAAAAAGATAAAAGCGATTTGTGTAAACATGGCGACCACTGAATAATGTCGAAAGTATCGATAGTCGATCTTCGCGATTCTCGTTATAAACTTTCCGTAGCTTACAATCTTATAATCTTATGTACACGTCCGCTTTATGAAACTTGAAAAAATGTCTGTGAGAATCTAAGTATTGTTCTTAGCATTTAGTATTCCCATGATCTGTAATAAATCCGGAAATCTTCAAGATTTACCTTAATAATTAGAACCATATCAATATCCTTACAATCTTCTTGACATAAACGCTTATTCGCTGCACATTTTGAAAAAATCGCGAGTACATGTAACGCTTTTCATTTTCATTTTTTTTCTTTTTCTTTCTTTTTTTTTTTTTTTATTTATTTTTGCTTTTCATTCAGACGGAATGGATATATTATGAATTGTATCACCAACGAGCTTAAATAGCTCTATTAAATCAAACTGTATTCTGAAATACTGATTCGAGAAAGAGATTTACATCACTTAGATGCAAATTAAATTACTAACTTTTGTGACTAAAAGACGGCAATCGATTAATCAAGAAATCAAATTATTCACAGAAATATTTCGAACTTTTTGATATCGTTGCTATATAAAAATGTGCATGAATTAGAGAAAATTTGTATACCTCATACATTTTATGATAATGTCTTTAACACGTTTTAAAATACGAATATTTTTTTTTTCTTTTCTTTTTTTTATGAGATTGCGCCATTTCCCTTTCTCTCGCTGTTTATCTTTCCTTCTCTCTCTCACTCATACATACACATGCACGTTGCATACAATAAACAGATTTCTTATCTATAGAAAAATGTAAAAACAGAAAAGGGAAAAAACGAAAAATCGGATAAAAAAGCAACATCGAGCTTACTACGAGTAGTCGATAATATCAAATATCGAAACTTACATCTAAATACATGTTAATAAATACATCGCTCTGAATACATCCAACATGATACATGCATACTGTTATGACACATGGATTGACTTTTTATTATTCGCATTATTATCGAGCCTGCAAACAGCCATCATTAGGACCATTAATCTATCACTCCGTCAGTCATACTTCGCAATGGAACGAGTACGTAAACTTAAATTAATTTGTTCGGTCTCTTTCGCGTCACGAGAATTATTCTAGTCGTAGCTCGAATACACTACGATGAAATCATGATATATAAACATAGTGAGACCAATCGTTACTCATGATCGTAAGGACTAAATATTACGGAAATAATACGCATCATATCGACGTATAATTATTTCCTATTACTCGTACAAGTTCTAATTGTACGATGCGAAATAATGTAGTCTGTCACTACACCATTACGATAGCTTCTTCGCCACAAAACAGGAAAGGATATTGATCTATCATCGTTTGAACAACATCTTCTAAGTATGGTCTCACTGCTTCAAATCTGCCAAGATCGTTAAATTCTATAGGTAATAAAGTAGGCCACCAGCAAATTGCCAAATTTTTACTGTCCATACTATTTAGTTTACAGTTTTCAGCCACTCTAAAGATAAATAAACATTCAATTATAATACGTGATAATTATATGATCTTCTAATCTATAATGATAATAGTAACTTACTTTACAAAATGATGAAAAATAAATTTAAGTACATCGAAATTAACTGGATTCAACTTCTTGAGCATTAAACGTAGTGCCAATAATCTACAGCTTCGATCTATAATATATTCATAAATATTTATTTTGCACTTTTGTCAACGTTTTGGTTATATTTAAACAACAATACTTACCTTCCATATTCATACATGTCGCGGACATCGGTTTGCTAATACCGCGAGCACCTAAACAAAAAGAATTAGCATTAACTTTAGAATAATAAATACTTAAATTAGCATTGCAGTTATCATAATTTACCTGAAATATCTTCAAATTCACTCATTCGTTCTTTATCAATTAATGGCGGTAGCCTCTTTGAAAAGAAATCTTTCAAAGCAGTAGCAACAGCATTTACAGGTATATCCAACGAATGTATGTCCACGTTTCCGTCTGTAACAGTAATATATGCAAAGAATATTAAAATAATTATACAAACAAAAATTAATACTTAAAAGTTAAATTGTAAAAAATCTTACCCTCTTCAAATTTTTGAAAGAGAAGTTCAACGTGTGCTCTATTTCCAGGAACCCTATATATACCTTCAGAATCTAGTCCTTCATCTTCAATAAATCGCACGCATTTTTCAAGAAAGAGAGGTATTCGATTTGTTTCACTCTGTGCAAAATCTTCAATTAATGGTTGTTGGACTTGACTCATACTTAATGTTGAACTAGGACCTTTAGTTTGTTTTATTTTTTCTTGCTTCTTTTTTTCTCTTTCCTTTTCTTTCTCTGCGTGTTTTTTAAGCTTTTCTTCTTTTTGTCGACGCTTCTCTAACTTTTCGTCTTCTTTTGCTTTTTGCTTATCCTTTTTTCTGTTTAACTTATCACCATCCTTGACCTTATTTAAAATACCATACCAAAGGGAAATGTCTTTAAAATAATTTCTATAAGTACTTATTCCTACTTTTTTATATATTCTTTTTACTTACACTAGGAGAATTAATTTCTCGTGGAGATGAAACATCTAGACTGGATTCATCATCTGGAATGTTGCCAAAGGTAATGTCACCCCTTTGTTTCACTAAAATAGTAATAATTTCATGCAATATTAATACAAAAAATAATAATTTTAAGCAAACCTTTTGTTATATCCTGTCTGAATAAATTAAAAAAATTATTAACAAAAATTCTATAATTATTATTTAAAATGTAGTATTAGCAATTCATTTAAATTATAACAGTTTGATTTTTAGCAATTTTCATGAATTAATAGAAAACAGATTAACAAGCTTAAAAAGTATGCATGCATAAATTACTAAATATAATTTGTATTTTCTTTTTAAATACTTTTTTAGCATGCAAAAAATTTATATGATTACAACAATTTTACTTACAGGAAGCACTAAACATCTCTTGAGTCATATGTTTCACATTATAAGGATGTTGCAATGATGCTGGTAGATGTTGCTGTGGTAATGAATTTCCAAATCTTTTTCGTAGACTAGCAGCAGCATGCTTATATTGTTTTGCTCTTGATCTGGAAGTATGTTCTGGGTCACTAGATTCGGAGGAATCTGGAGTTTCACTGGACACTATATAAAAACATAATCATATAACTTATTCACATGATAAAATATAATAAAATCATAATAAATATGTACCTCTTTCTGTAAGATTTATTCGCCAATTTTTATCCTCTTTGGCATTATAATTCAACCCACCAATACCATCTCCACTTCCCATACTAGCCAAAGATGGAACTTTAGGTGCAGCTACAGGTATAGCCGTACGTTTTTTTCGTATCCTCTTATGAGATTGTGGTTTTTTGTTTATTTTACCCAAAACATCAGCAACCCCCCTTTGTCTTTCCAAAGAACTCCATTCAGAATCAGAATCACTATATGCTATAAAACAAAATACACAATTATTTTGTATGTGTGTATTAATAACGAAATTGTTTTAATTAGATACTTACAGGGTTGTCCTTTTTCACGTCTATGGCGTAACTTAGGTTTATTATTTCCGATAGAATCTTGTACTGAAGCATACATATAATCACCATCATAAGAAGGATATAGATTCGGTACAACGTCTTTAACTTGTGCATATTCGGAACCTAGATCTACTAATTCAGGTGTAGCGAGAGGAGCATGACCCATAGCCATTTTAGGACCATGTTCGTCCTTTTCACCTACTGTCATTCTAGCTATAGCATCTGTTACGTTTGAAAAATCTTTTAAATTTATTTTACCAGGCTGCTTTAAAGTTTGGCTATTTCCTTTTGGTCGTGGTTTTGCCTGGGAAATATGGCATCTACCTGTTGTAAAAGCTCTATGAGGGTAACTATTAGTTACTCCATCTTGATGCATAAATGTATCCTTCATCCAACCTATCACCATAAAAAATATACAAAAATAAAACCATATAAAAAACAGTATTTCATTTTCACGATGTTATTAATACAAAACGAACCGGATAATTTATTTGTAATATCTCCTGGTTTTAGCAAATCTCTTTCTCTTTCTTCTCTATAAAAATCTACTTGACTATAAATATCACTGTCATCACTTGGTGTAGCTCTATTGTCTGCAAACTGTTCATTTAATACGGTATCTCCAAGATCACCATCTGGAGTTAATTGCTCATATGATTCAGAACCGCTTCTGAAAGTTACAGACATACTACTTCACATTAGACTTTTGAATGATACAATCATTTTTATGTGAATTGTTACCAATTAGACAACTTTTAGAGACTACTTTTAGATTACCTACCCATCATCTGGTGTTTGAAGATGATAACTTTCATGTCGTGGTGGTGGCATAGGATGTAATGCAGAATATTCTAAAGTTCCTTCACCACTATCATTCAAATTACCTGGTTCTTCCATATTAAATGCTTGCTCGATTTCGGGTTTTTTCTCCCATACCTCTTTGAAAAATGGCGTATAGAATGCCGCTGCAATTAACGTAATATAAAATTAAAGTAACAAACAGAAAGTTCTAACTAGTATTGTAAGAGTTTATCTGTAAGAGTAACAAGCTGCGGTGACCGATAAAGTGGCATGTGTGGCAGGCACATCACGCTAGATAATTTGAACCATAAACGAGGCGACGTGCGATTTAATTTCCGTGTCCCTATTAAATAAAGTACGATCAACGATAAAAAGCGGATCGAGGAGCGAAAGGACACAGTATTGTATCGAACGTAGGAGAGTAAAGCAGAATTCGCCACCGTGCCTTAAACTTATTTTTCCATCCATCTCCTCTCCTCCCCTTATAGTATTTACATACTTTTCTGTTGGCAGCTAGATGCTGAGGTCATAAAATGTGCTTGTAATTTATCCGCAATTGCATTTCCTTCCGTAATAAGTAAATGACTTAAGTCATTACTGAAGAAAGCATTAGCACCTCCAGTGTCAGTCACAGCCATGATTTGTATTGGTAAGTTTGGTATATTCATAGAAAATGCGCTACAAGACAATGTAAAATTAAAGTGATATTGTTTTAATATGTACAGAAATCGTACTTACGTACGATCGAAATACGTACTTAAGAGTTGCGAGTGATGCTTTCCTTTTTGTCGAATAAACCAATATGAAACCATGTACCAACTCATCTCTAAATGCATTTGCCCCATGAAAACTTGAAATAATAACTTCAACCCTCCGTTTTGATTCTCCTAGAAATGTTTCTAAAACAATCGAACGATCGCCACTAAGAAAACAACACTGATGATTGAGTAAAGGACCAAGTACATTTTCCACTGAATATGGATCCCCACAGAACATACACATTATTATCCTAAAATGAACACATAATATTCGATAGATCTTTC